CTGAATGTGCACCAGCAGTCAAAAAAGCAAACAGAATGATTAGGGGTTTGGAATGGGTGCAATGTAAAGAGACTGGGACTTTTCATCTTAGAAAAGAGGAGACTAAGGGAGATCATGACTGGTGTGGAAAAAGTGAACAAGGAAAAGTTATTCACTTATTCCCATAACATTGTGGTTGTGTCTACACTGGCCACTTATTCCGGAAAAGCAGCCGCTTTTCCGGAATAACTTTTTCCGGAAAAGCAATGACGATCTAATGTAAAATCGTCATTGTTTTTCCGGAAAAACTATGCTGCTCCCGTTCAGGCAAAAGTCCTTTTCCGGAAAAACTGTTCCGGAAAAGGGCCAATGTAGACAGCACAGTAGTCTTTTCCACAAAAAAGCCCCAATAGCGAAAATGACGATCGGGGCTTTTTTGCGGAAAAGCACGTCTACATTGGCCACGGATGCTTTTCTGGAAAAGCATCCTGCCAATGTAGATGCGCTTTTTCCGGAAATACTTATAATGGAAAACTGTTCCGTTTTAAGCATTTCCGGAAAAGGGTGCCAGTGTAGATGTAGCCAAGAAGTAGGGTTCACCAAATGAAATTAATAGGTAGCAGGTTTAAAACAAACTAAAGGAAGATTTTCTTCATACAGCACACAGTCAACCTGTAGAATGCCTTGCCAGAAGAGGCTGTGAAGACCAGGACATTAACAGCATTCAGGAAAGATCTAGTTAAATTCATGAAGGCTAGCTCCATCAATGGCTATTAACCAGGATGGGTACAATGGTGTACCTAGCCTCTGTCAGAGGTGGGAACTGGTGACAAGAGAGGGAGTGCTTGAAGATTCCCTGTTCTGTTCACTACTTCTGGGGCATCTGGCATCGGCCACTGTGGGAAAACAGGATATTGAGCTAGATGGACCTTTGGTCTGACCCAGTATGGCTGTCCTTATATTCCTATTTCTTCCTTACATAGATAGAGGCAGCAGCACCGGGTGGGGGGGGGACGGGCAGGTGGCACCATGGAGCTGGTGCTGTGGGAACCAGCTTTTAAGCTGGCTTCTCCAAGAACTGGCTTCTGCCTGTTCTTCCCTTCCCCTGCAGCAAGGGGGGACAGGTGGGTCCATGGAGCTGGCTCTCCCCTGCACCTCCTTATCCTCCGCACTACTGCCTCTCCATCAGAGGAACCGGCTCCTGCTTATGCCCCCCCGCTCCCCGAGGCAGCAAAGGGGGAGGCATGTAGTCAACAAGATTAACCGATAAATCCAGGCTTATTAGTTAATCAAGTAGTTCTCTACACACTGACATCCGTAATTTCTTTTAGAGTAAACTTTAATCTTCCACTTTATGTGCTGTATATATGGATCATCATTCAGAAATAAAAGCAAACAAGTAAAATGAGCTGACTACTCTCTTTGAGGGGGTTCCAGTTATAGTAATTGCTCATTTAACACTATACATGTTTCAGAAAATGATTGTGTTAAGTGAAAACGTGTTATGTAAGTCAATTTTCCCATTGAAAATAATGGAAAAGGTGGGGATTGCGTTTCAAATGGTGGTGTCTGTTGGGACCGGGACATAAGGTTGGGGGAGAAAGACTGGGTTATAGCAGGGAGGAAAGGTGTTTGGCTCTGGGGAAGGGAAGGGGAGAAGAGGGGAGAGGGATTGGGTTGGGAGTATACCCCTGTGATAGGTCTTCCGGGACCCACACTGTGTCCAGTGGGGGGGGGGCTTGCAGGCAGGGGCGGAGGAGAGGGGGCAAGGTGTCCAGCTATGGGGAGTCAGCAGGGAATGGTGCAGCTAGCGGCGAACCCTCCGCCACTTTGCAGGGAGAAGGAGCCGCCAGCAATGGGAAATCATGTTATTCTGGGGACGGTCGTGTAATTCAAAAAACATTTCCTAAAAAAAAAAATCGTGCTATCGTGAAAACGTGTTAAGCGGGCATGTATTAAATGAGGAATTACTGTATAATGGTGAAGGGGCCAATTACATATGAATGGTGAAACTACCAGATTTTAGGTTACAAAACAGGAACGTCCTAAATTCGCTATGACATTATAAAGCCTGCAATGAATTAAAAAGCCCACCTTAATATGCATCCTATTTGAGGGACTATTTTATACACTTTAAATTACTTTGAGTTTGTATAGTTATAGCTCCTAACTAACTCTATTTTCGTTGTCTCGAATTGCCCCATATTTGTGGCATCTGAAACTATATGAAGACTGTTATGAAGAAGGTATGATACATTAATATTAAACCACAACATATGTAACCAGTGTGAACCTGACCTTACGCATGGTGGACGCATGTGGTTTGACTCTTCAACACTTCCAGCTGTCCTGATTATCATGATTGATGAAACAGAGCAAAAATAATGTGGTTTTCTGAATCAGAGGAATGATCAAACTCAAACTACCTGTACTGTGCTTATAATATTCACATAACCCTCCTCCTTTAACTTGGATGATCCTTGTTCCTCCTGAAATTCCAAGACTATAATAGCTACACTTGGGCTCTGATGGAGTAGCTAAAGATTAAACATTCAAGGACAATATATAACTTCACTGGAATGTCAGATTACAACTAACATGGTGATTATGTAGGGGAAAACAATATAAGGCAGGATCTCTTACATCATCCAATGCCTGAATTGGTATAAAAATGGGAATCTAGATCTGTGTCTAGGCATTCAACATATTTATTGGTTATAAGCAAACAGATAAGACCCAGTTGTCTTTTCTAACTTCATGTGTCAAAAGCCCTGACCTGTCAGATCTTGAAGAGCACAAAGTGCTGCCATGTATACTGAGCAGAGTTTTCATAAGTATATTCACTTCACCATCCCAGACACACCACCCCATTATGATTAATCTTTCTATCCTCAATCTTCCGCTAACTCCTCCAAAATTCCAGCTCCTACAATTAGCACAGGCTGCAAGATTTATTACAGACAGGCTTCTTTTTAGAGGGAATCTTGGGAAAGCACAATTTTACCATAAGATAAAAGAGAAAGTAAGACTAGGTGGTATACTTTCCCATTTATGCGCACTAGTGTGAAAAGTAGGTGCCTGTAGCAAGTTTTTGGTCAACTGCCTAAATAACAAATATCCTGGGTATTAGAGAGAAATATGGGTAAGGTAATACACTCCAAAACCTGGGAACAAAGAGTGAATGCACCAAAATAACGTGTTAATTATCTGCAGTACAAAGAAAACATGTGGCTGTTAGTTACAAAAGTATTGTTGCACTAGGGAGGAAAAGGAGGTCGCAATTACTATGGGCAGGAAAGTAGTTACACATCTATGCATACTACTATGTCTCAAGCACTGGAATACTCATTGTACTTCAAATCTGAGGAAGTAGGGGACTATGGAATTGGTAACCTTTTGTAAAATACGGAGAAGCAGAAATTATGCCTACCTGTGTAACTGCTTATTGCTTAGCAACCCTGCTTTTTAAAAAAAGCCACTACATCCACATGCTTTGAACACCCCAGAAATCTCTTAATGTAGTGATACATCTCAGTACATGCTTTAACAGGTGTACCTATATATGTATGCATACACAAAACCAGCAAGCAGATTTCCACTGAGTGTGGGTGGTACTTTAAATGTTTCATTGAATTGCACACCATAAACATTTTTCATCAAACAGATGCTATAAAAATATCTACTGGCAATGCAAAAATGAGAGAATCTCAGTCAAGATGAGAGAGACCTAACAGGGTGGTTACAGATTCGCCTTGAAAGCTTCCTTAGTGAGGGTGCTATTCCCATCCTTGAGAACCGATTTTAATGGCACTCCTTAGCATTTTCTCTCCTGGTCTTGGGAGACAGACATGCATTTTACCATGTTTTCTGCTGACCATTTTTAATCTTGCTCACTTTTTGTGACTTCCCCTCATTCACCTGCCCCTACTTCTGACAGCCCTTAAGAGCTATTTATGAGATACTACCATGCTTAGCGCTGTATAGGGTACAATAAGGCAGTCCACCCCCACCACCCTCCAGAAGCCCTTGCAGTACTGGTGCAAAGCAAGAAGTATTCTTAAAATCCTGCCGAACCAAGCCAACTACTCCGTTTTACCTGTTGGATGCTCCTGCTTCGAGTTCAATCCCGGGCGGGGAACGGGCTAGCAAGTAACACGATGAAACAGGGAGGGCTTTAACTGAGCCAGGCTTTCACGTGTCCTAACGCCACCAGGGCGGATGGGACCCAGAGCCAACCTGCAGGTGGGAGACGCGCATTCTGCCCGGTCCCGGGCAGCGGCGCAGGGAACTCCCCGGCTAGCGTCGCGCTGACACAGGCCAGGAGCGAGAGGAAGGAGGGGACAAGCCTGAGCAAAGGACGCTCCAGGCGCCGCGGTGTCAGAGCACTAGGAGGGGGATCCCGAGCCACAGCTGCCGCCTCCCCCGGGCAGGAGCTACGGGAGACCCGGACGCGGGGAAGGGGCAGCTCCCCAGCCCGGAGGCCGGAGGAGACGCTGGCGGGGATTCCCCGCGTCACCAGCCGGCCGCGCCCGGGACACCCCCGAAGCCCCTCTCGCCTCCCCGCCCGCCGCACTCACACCGGCGGCAGCAGCATCTCCATCGCGGCTCGGCGCAGGCTCCCTCCTCAGGACGCAGGCACCGCACGCCGCCGCCAGCAGCAGCAGCATTCCAGCCGCGCGCGCCGGGACAGCCCGCGCCGCCTGCGCCTCTCCGCGCGCGGGGCTCCGCTATCGCCGCCCATCCATCCGCCTGCCGGAGCCGGGCTGCGCTGCCCCTGTCGCCGGCCGCCCCTGGCTCAGCCCACTTCCGGGTTCCAGCCACGCGGGCGGGGACGGCGCAACGTCAGCACGCAGCCTCGAAGGGAGCGGGACGCCCCCCCGCCGGCCTCGCGCTCTCCCCTGGGGTGTCCCCGCCCGAGCTCGGGGCGCGAGGCTTTGCTGGGGCGCGGCCGTTGTGCAGCCCACCCCGCCTCCACCGCTGCCTGGGCGCGGCCCCGGGTGTCCTGCGGGGACGGACGAGGCGGGAGTCAAGGCACGATGCCGGTGAGCCTGGCGCGCGGGCCTCGGCCTGCCCAAGCCCTTCCCGCTGCTGCCCCCGCGTCGTATCGGCGCCTCCAGCTGTAGAGCCGTCCCTGCCCCCCCCCCCTCCCCAGCAGGGGCTGCGAAGGGCGACTCGGCTTTGGCTGCCCTGGGGGCCAAGATGGTCACAGCTTGAGTGCGGTTTTGTGCATGCAACTAGATATGCAAATAGCTTCTTTCACACTGATGGGCACGAATACAAAGTTTAAGGCAAGACTGCAACACGCAGGCCCCATTAAGTCACAACTGATGTTATTACTAAAATGCAACATTTACCCAATTTCCACCCATAGGACAGCACTTTTAATGACCAATCACAGTTCAGGAATTTAACTATTAAAACATATCCAGAGAAGACCATTATATTGATTCCTTTTTTTGTTTTAGCTCCCACCCATGGGCTGCATTTGGCCCGCGGGTTACATGTTCAGTACCCCTGGGTTAAAGGCTTGGGAAACGTGGCTCCCTGGAACAGTGAGTGCAGCTCAATCCATCACCTGCATGGGAACCCGTGTAAAACAATGGGCTCTAGTAGAGACAAATGGCACACATGCCCCTGTCTTGACGTTGAAACTGAACTGATATTTTCGGACTGACAGTGAGGTGTAAATATTCTGGGTGGATCTGTGTAGTATGGGACAGAGCGGAGTCACTGACCATTTCTAAGCGAAGATGAGATTAATTTCTCTTTTAGAAGGAAAACACTTTGGGGCAGCTCTAGGCCTAGGTCAGACTAAATCTGTGGTGTCTAACACACTAGCCATGTGGCTATTTGGCAGGTTGAGCGTGGCTAGATCACTACAGTATTGCAGAAGTGGTTGGACACCAGAGAACTAGATGATTACAAGGGTCCCTTCTGGCCTTGGAATCTATGAGCTTTACTAATTTATGGGTCAATAGCAGGCCTCCCTCAATTAGGACTGTGACTGAGTTTACATTCTCTTGATTTTTTGCTCACTCCATTCTAAAATCTACATTGCTTTGTGGCAGATGGACCTCTGTGATACAGGCGATTATGATCTTCCAATGGATTTTTTTTTTTTTTTTTTAAGAAAAGCTGTCTTGTACCTAGTGCTGTTCACTATTAGAACATGACATAAAGGTCTGGTATGGTCTCCTAGGAAGTTAGGATCATTAAGGCAGCACTTTCCACAGACAGGAGTTGGGTCATACCTGTCCTCACATGCAGAGCTCACCCCTGTCCCCTGGTACTGTTGTTATTGTCAAGCCGGTTGAATGTAGGGAGAAACAGAAATGTTTTATTTTGGGAAATACCACCGCCTTCCCAGTAACTTTTGATAGATGTTGTTGGTTCCTGAAAATGCAGATGACTCTCTTTAGTCTGTGTTCCATATATCCACAGTTGGAGCTCATCCACCTTCATAACCATTAGAGAACATGGTCCTCATTTACAGGGCTTGACAAACAGCTGCAAAATCCGCTCACCAAACCCGCAGTGCGCATGTGCAAGACCCGCACTGCGCATGCGCGCACCGCTGGTGAACGGGGCGACCGGCTAATATCTACTCGCCACGGGTGAGTCGATTCAATGATTTGTCGAGCCCTGCTCATTTACATGAGCAGTTGTCGGAATTCACTCATTAATCTGAACAGGAGCCTTTATCAGGTACAGTCAGACCTGAAGCTTATGTGGATATGGATGACCACATCCTGAAGACAGTAGCTTATCCACTACTACATATTGTTATGTAAAGAACAATCTGCCATCCATACTAAACTCGAGGTATGGTACTTGTTAGATAACTCTTGTACTGACTGGCAACATGAAATCACTATTCTCTCAGCCACCAGTGAGCAATAATTTTTGATGGGGCCCCTCCAAGAATTTGGAAAGTGGTCAAACGACGCACTCTTCCATGTTATTAAATGGAAGAGGAGCAGGGTCTGTGATGGAGGTTAGGTGCAGAAGCGAGCTTGGTAAGGGAGGGAGTTAGGGTGGAGGAGGCAGTTGTGACGTGGGGCTCTGGACTGGGGTGTAAGGAGTTGGATTGTGAACTAGGGCAGGAGGGGACTGATCTGGGTCAGGGGATTGGGATGCTAGATCTGGGAGGGAGTATAGGTATAGGAGGGGGACAGAGGATTTGTGTATGTGGAGGAGGGAGCAGCGGGTTGGGGAAGGGTGGGACTGCAGTGCCAGCAGCAGGCTCTGGCCAAGAGACTTACCAGCCAGCAGCCTATTCCTGAAGGAGCCTCCCTGCAGAGGCTGCAGCCATGTGCTCTGTGAATAACTATGAGTTCCTTGTGCTTGGTGGCTGCCTGTTATTGAAACAGGAAAAATGCATTGGCCAGTTTCTGGCAGGAAGCTGGCCACTGGGATAGTGTTGGGGTAGGGAGCAGCTCCTGAAGCTTTCACCCCTCCATCCGGGCTCAGTTTTTAAGGTGAAACTGCCCCACAATCATGTTTGAGCAGTGTGTGGCTGGGGCAAGGCAAGCAGGGAGCCTACCTGGGGCTCCGCACAGCATCCACGGTCCAGATCTGGTGGTTTAGGGGGCTGGATATGGCCCACGGGCCAAATTTTGCCCAGGCCTACTATAGGCTGACTCCATGCTTGGCTCCAACATCATTGTGGGCACTTTTGTTGTTTCTACATGTGCCAACTGTGGAAAAGAACTCATTTTATCACCAGCTACTTGCAAAATTCCATTAACTCTGCAGCATGACAAACGGTTAGTACTTGGAGATTTTAATGCTATGACTGGATGCAGTTGAACTCGGTATGAAACCCAGAGACCTGCAGTAGGTTCCTTTGGCTTGGGTTCCCAAAGAACAACACTACCTGGCTTTAGTGGTCCAGAGGCATCTGCAAACTGAGGCCTCAGACTTTCACAGCTTTCCCCGTATCTTCTTTCAATCCTGATGTTCACTACCAGTAAAATGTCCAGAATCTTTGAGGACCTTTTTGAAGCCATGAAATAAACATAAATCATAATTAATCACATATAACCTCAGTATAATCACATATAACCCTCATGGAAAATGTGGGGAGCATGTGGAATAGTGTACAAAATACTATCATATTCCACTTCTGGAACAATCAGCTTCAAATGATTAACCAAGACCCCTTAGCTTCATGAAGAGGCCTTTGTTATATTATTTTAAAAGATAGACACACATAAGCAGACAGATATCTAAGAATATAAACTGCTGAAGTCATTTTCTGGACCAGGACAAAATGAAACTGAGATTAACATCAATTCCCTGGCCACCAAAGCAGAGGACAGCCTAAAGAACAACAAATACATCCTGCCTACTGAGCCATCAACACACCTGGCTGGCAGCCATAAACAGCCTTCTAACATCCCTATTATGGAACCAGATGGCTTTGCCTGCTCATCAATGGAGGAGGTGTTAAACAGATGGAAAACACATTAAAGCATGCTGAAGCTCAGACTTGCTGATGACTGTCTAGAGAGCTATATGACCTGATAAGCCTCACAGGTGTAGATCCAGGGACAAATACTGAGCTTTGGTAAATCAAGGAAATAGTTAAGGCCATCCAAGAGTTACACACTAGACATGCTCGTGGACCTCATGGTATTCCACGGCAGCTGCTCAAAAGTGCCTTGGAACTGGGGAGCCCCAGCTTCCATAAACTGTTCTTAAAAAGTGTTAACACGAGGCAAAGTTCAATAGACTCAAAAGACAGAATCATAGTGTCCCTGTACAAGGGCAAGGAATTTTGCACTGAGCGTGGCAACTACAGGCTAATCTCATTACTGGTCCCTGGAAAGGTCTTTGCTCACATTCTGCTTGATAGGATGCAGTCACTCCTTACCATAGATCAGTGGTCCCCAACCTTTTTAGGTTGTCGGGCGCCAGGGGGCATGGCCGTTTGCCCGCCGGGCGCCAGGGGGCGGGGCCCGGGGGCGCCCCCCCATCCACGCGCCCGGGGGCGGGGCCCCACCTAGCCGC